CCGAATGTAGCTCTTTCAAAATTTAGGCCCTCATTTAAACCAGCTTGTAGTTGAACTAATCCAACCTGCTTTATTGTTGCTAATAAACAGGTAAAACATTTAAATTCTTCTTGCACACACACATTTATCTCTTTCTGTCTTCAAAAGAGCACATCTTGAGAAAACAGTTTGTTAACATAAAAATTAGCAGGAAGCTCAGAGATGTTATAATTTGTGCGCTAAGGAAGAAGCAAATTAGTAATCAGATGGTAGTTTTAAGGTCTGTTTAATGTACAATTGATTGCCAGAATTGAACAATAATTTTTATAGTTATCTGAGTCTCATAGTAAGTTAATCGAAGATGAGGGTATGTGTAAAGACTCTTCCTCCACCTGTGGTAGGTAAGGTTCAAAATTCCTGTAACACCCTTTTTTCTTGAGTCTTGAGGTTATTAAATTTGGCATGAAATTAAAAAAGAAATTGTCATCGAGAGGAGCATTATATCTAATGAGGAGGAAGAGTTATTATCATTATCTCTCCCCATTGGCTAAAATGTTGAATTTGTGTGTGAGGGATCCCCCCCCAGCCTTTCTTCCTTAACTCCTAGTAAAGATGACGATGAATTTTATTACTTAAATGCTTAGGGAATTTTCAGCATATCTCATTTGGTACCAGACCTCTCTTGTGCAATCCACAGTGGTTTGGTTACCCCTACATATCCAACGAGCACAAAGGACCCTGAATAGTCTGGCATTATAGGGTCGGTAGCGCCCGTTCTCTTGAGAGCGTCAGCTGGGTGCTGATTTTATGAATTTTGAACCCTCCTCTTGAATCACCACTTAAAAAAGGTTTTACTGCAAGGACCTTAGGGACTTTGAGAGTAACTAATGTGGAAGCCTGTGAGCCGGAGCCGTTTTTTGCGAGCCTCGAGCCTCTTATTGCAAGCCACTGTTTGTTCTATATCTTTCCATTTTCTCTCCACATTTTATTTTAAGAGTCTTTGGCTCCTCTTCAGAAAGCATTTGAAGGTGAAAATCACTTTGGACTATTTTACTATACATTTGCATGCTACAAAACGTACTAGATCATTTTCTGTACAATATGCAAGCTAATTTTGTGTTTAACAACAAGTTGATGTTTGCTTTTAAAGAAATCAGTCGGTTAGTGTTCTCAGTAATATCTCATTCTTATGATTGACCATCCTCTTCATGCTAAATTCTGCATCAGATTTTGCCAGTACTCTGTGCAGCAAATATGGTCCCTGGTATGATGTTTTCTATGTTCTCGAGTGACAAGAGTCTCTTGTCTACTGAAGTTTTAAGAATTTATTGAGATTGCCCATAGTTTTGGCAATTTGTACTGATTTTGCAGAGTTTTCCGTTGGAGATTAAAAACTCTTTCAATCAAGGTCAGCCATTGCTGGATAGTTCTGGGGTACCTGTGCATTGTGCCGAGACAGAAGCCATAGACCAATGGTACATGTAAAAAACAATTCCGAAACCCAATAGGTTGGCATCTGTTGCAGAATAGTACGATACTCTTCAATTTCAGTGGCCATTATTTTCAGGTCCATAAGAAGACATTCTAGTTTGTACATGGTTGATGAGAGGGAAGCAAGGCTGAGGACATTAAATACAGTTGCAACACATGCAAACCCAGCAGGGGCATTCCCAAAAACAAAAGCCCCTACACAGGCAGTCGTCGAAAAAAGACCACTTAAACCAGCCCACCTTCGTTTACTTACACTTTCTTTTAAGCTATTGTCGACAGGTCGAATAAGCTGTTCAAGGGCATCGTTGATGCGACTCAACTTATCAAGCAGGAGATGGGTTGTCTTCCGTCCTAGAGTGGCCCCACCTGGGTGATCCCTAAGTGGTATTAGTTCCTTGTTTATAAAATACGTAACGTCTTTGAGTTCCATCTGCAACAACTGAAACTCTTGTCGGTGCGATTGGTAGTCGAGGTCCAAACTCATCGCCTGGTCATACATATCAACGCTTCTGTATAGCATGTGGACAGCCCAACCCATTTCTTTACCCTCTGCTATGAAGGTGGCACTTCGTGTCAGACTTGATATTTTGCGAACAAGATCGTGCACATTTTGGGGAATCATCTTTTGACCAGCTTTCCAGTCGGTTTTTTCATATATCTCGTACAAGCCCTGTATGCAGGTGATGAAGTGATTCATGCGCTTCACATCTAGTGAGTTAACATTGCCGCCGTTCCAGTCCTTTATATATATCGCTACCTCCGTACAGCCGTTCGGCAAGGTTAGGGCACTCTGATTTGTCGGAGACGTTAGTAAAAACACAAACACCGACACAAAGGCCAAAGCGGGAGTGAGACGAAAGCGGAAATACTTCCAGCCTTTTGCAAACATTTCTATTGCAAAAAATTACCAGTTTGAGAGAGACTTTTTGCTCGAGACTGAAAAATTGGTCCTGCTCCTGCGCAGTTTGAATGAGCGGGCTCTGGGGCTGAACAAAGTAGACCAAAAAAATGGCGGCTGAAAAGCGCACTCGTCCCGTGGAAGGTTTTTATCAATTTTGGCCTTCTTGCACCTTTCCTCTGTAAGATCGTCATCAAGCTTTCTTTTCTGTCCCCTCAATTCCATGATTTTCGTTTTGGAGCATAACACAGTCGACACCGCGGAAATACGTTTTCATGACGTCACAGTAACTGGTCAGTGGTCATCAACTTTAGGCTGCCAAGCGCTTACATATGTTTGTAGACTGAGTTCGATGATGACATCGGCCTTTTTCGTGGTTTTAAGTTGGAAAATATGCATGATACTTCTCCTTGTTTGTTATATTTGATCCTTTGAATGGGTTTTTAATAATCAAACCACGTCTTAACAAATAGCGGTATAGGGGAGTCATTTTGTTTGGAGTTGTGTGCTGTTTGCTGACTTAGGCTGGCCGTCTATTTACGAAGCGCGATCTTGGTTCTTCAGTCGCCCTCGCCTTCAGAATTGTCAAAAACAGCGATAGTTATCCAGAAAAAGCAGGAGATTAGTTCTGTAAGATACTTTTCCAGCGAGTCTGAAGACTGGTTGGATTTTTAAGTGTTATTAGCATGAAGCGATACAGGTAATTTTATAGTGTTGTGAAAATATTCATACACTCACTTTGCGCCGACGTGCGGTGCCTTTTCATTTTGGTAATTGTTCGCTTGGATGAGAACTTTACCTTTATAGACTGATTTTTCGCCACTCCACCCTTCTGATTTTCTGAGCCTTTAAGAACGGGTGTCCGTAGTCAAAATATGAAAACATTTGTTCATTTCATATACTTGCAGTTTTATCAACAAGTTATCTCATGAACAGGCACACCAAACGTACTGAAGACATGTAATAGAGATCTACTATCAACTTCTGTCAATAAAGGCTTAATTCAAGATAAATTATAAATGAACCGATCATGTTGGACGGTCT